TATTTAAAAAAAAACGTTTTTTATAGATTCATTAAAGTGCCGTGGGGCGACTAGCATGATGCCTGTTGGCCTGTGACACTTTTTACTTTAAGAAACATTATTTTTATTACTTTAGATAATCTGTAGAAAATATATAGCTAAATCGTTTGTTTATTTTTCGCTTTTCTGTTTTATGTTTATTTGAATGGTCTAATATCTGGAATTTGAGTCTTATTAAAAAAAACAGTAATAAAATACATTTTTTGCAATTTATAGCCTAAAGAAAAAACTTTAGCTAACTTCACGCTACATCCCTTAGAATGAGAGCACTTATAACTATATTATAGATATAAGATAAAGTATGCGAGCGAAGCCGCGGACAAGAGCTAGTGATAGAAGTATAATATAGTAAAAATTGCTTTTTGAATTTTATCTTAGCACGTCTTGTTCGTTCTGGTTGTTAACTGCTTATGGCGTGGTTCCGCTCGCGAAACAGAGTCGTCGAAAGGGTCACAATTATCTAATCTTGTATTACTTATAAAATAAGTAAATAATAAAGTGGATGGCTTAAGTAGTTATTATTATTCGCGTCGTATTGATTTATTTATTTTACTACAATAATAACAAAATAAATATTTTTAGTAGTTTTTGGTATGAGTTTAAATGGGCGAAATTTAAAAGTAATTATTGCGCTCTACCGATTATTTAAATAATTTATATGGAACATTCCGTAAATCAATAAACAATTAAAGATGATATCACGTAATATATAAACAAAAAAGAATAGAATTAAGTACTTCTCGTGGTGGACCCTTTGCCAGTGCTCTTTTAAATTCGACCAAAAACCATTAAGAAAGCAATAGCCAATATTAGAACTACATATTATGCTGTACCAATAGACATTTATGTCCCTTTATTAATAAATACGGAGATTTACCAAAATATTTTAACTTAAAACTGTTCAAAATTATGTTGTAAAAAAATTATTTAGAGTACTTAGCGTCTCGAAAGGAAAAGGATGTTATGAAACAGAGGTATTCTTTACTTTTGGTGATTTTGACTGAGTTTTTTAATATTACAGCACCAGAGGATGTGTCTGTTCTGCATAATATTTTTATCCGCTTAAGTGTTTTCATGTAGATCGGTAGATACTTGTGGCTTAAAGTATTCACGCTTATAAATAATAAAAAAATCGTTACTTTTGTTTTTATATAACCCGAAAAAAAATTACGAAAAAAAAACAGGAAAATACACCCGGCCCCGTCTGAAATTTAACCTAACGACTTTTTATTTTCTAGATGTAAGAGTTCCTATGTACAATAATAGAAACAAAAATATCTGAACATGTAAATAATAATTGTATATTATTAAAACAATTACTTGAGTAACTGTCGCAATAGTTGATTAAACAGTATTTAAAGTATCTATTACTTTAATTATTGTTTAATTATAATGTTATATTAGTCATTCTATAGATATCATAAATCATTAATAATAATAATATATTTTATGAATCAAAGTAAGAATTAATGTAAGAAATAAATATTATTCTATTAATTTTGTTAATAAATTAATTATTATCATTAAAAAACAAAACATCTTCAAACTTAATAAGTGAAAATTCTTATAAATCGATTATGTCAAATAAGAATTGATCACAAATGGATTTATTTTAAATTATCATAAATGGATTTATTTTAAATTATCATTGATATTAAAAATGTTTTGATTGAGATATAATATTTATTAAAAAAGCTAATTAAAATAAGTATTCAAAATATAATTATTCAGTGTACCTAAATGCCGCAACTGTGTAGAGTTTATGAAATTTGTGTACGTGCATCTATACACATAAACCTTTCCATTCTTGTTTGCTATACCATTTCGCAACCCGCCCCGCCTGCCTTGGGGAAATCCTTATTCTATGACTAAGTATATGCAATTTTAATCTATACTTAATATTATAAAGAGATGAGATATAAGAGATGAAAGTTGGTTGGTACGGAGAAGTAACTTTGCTCTAAACCTCTGTAATTTTTTAAATATGAGATTGGTATTTTCTCCCTTACGTTAAGTAAATTGTTTGATAAGGAGGTAATGATAGGTAATAACTACAAAAACTGTGCAGATAAGTATATATACCCAGTATATAATAAATGCAGATGTCGCAAGTTCAATTCCGGTTTTAGCTATGAGCTTGCAATCATTTTATATAGAAAAATTAATAGACCATTATATATTAAGAAATGTGTGCACATTTTATTAGGTTATGATATTGTATTTGATTTATAAAGAGATATGAAAATTATGTTAATTTTTACCCAAAATGATTCTTAGCGATACGTTACCAATAGCCAAGATATTAAAATTGTATCATTTTGTAGTGAAATATCAATATTGCTGACATAATAAAACCAAACCGAAATTTGTGAATTTTAAAAACTTCCAGCAAATAATTAACTAACAACTAAACGCATTAGGTAATATCCATTATTATTTCAATCTGAACCCCATTGAACTAATGAGCAATTATGTACTATTTTGCTCCATTTTTGTATGGGAAAATATACAAGATTACTAGGTTCCCATTGTTCATATAACAATCAATAGAACATGCTATAGAATTAGGTATGAATTAAATATTATCAGCATTTTCAATGCAATTTCAATTTTACTTTAGGTTAACAATCGCGTGCTTAATGAAATGATTTTCTTAAATATTACGTATTTCCATCAAATTACACCCAATTGTTATTAATTGTACATTTGCATTATTAATAAGCATTATTTTAGTTTCCTTCATTTTTATATTTTTGTTCACAAGCTATCTTACTAAAATAAAAATATGAAATGTTTGTTGGTTTGTTTTTTTTTCACATTTCAACGGATTGATGAGATTTTGCATTGAAATAGTTTGTATTTAGGAGTAGACATTTAAGTACATAATATATTACAATAAACACTAGTAACTATTATGTTATAGTGTTTATCTAAACATACAGAGATATCTTCTTAATTTTTTTATTTCAAACCAATAAAGATTACATAGCCATATCCATACCATATCACATTATACCTATACATAATTATTATCTCTAACACTTAACACACTGTATGTTTACAAATTTTCTTTCTTGTTTATTTCCTGATGACCACGGCTCTCCACTAAAGCACAATATGCCAGCAAATGTCAATGATTGTTTATTTACTGTATGCGGAAATCAAAGCTGCAATCCTAGATGTAGAGATAAGTTTCGTGAACGATGCATTGAAGCTGCCGTCGTGTTAGAACACATGCAAAATTGAGATTAGATAACTCGTTTTTGAAAAAAATTAATTACTCAAACTTTTTATTACTTTGTATCAAAATGTTGGGATAGTGTTGATTCGTAGACACTCTGTTTAAATATGATTCCTCATAACTTGACGAATTTAGCCATATCTCATAGGTATGATAAAAACTAGCTGTTTAGGCTAAAGAAGTATAACATAGGCGTGTCAAAAAAATAAACTTATGCATGTACAACATAACTGCACTCGAAATACATTACTCTTCTTCTTAGATAGTCGGATAATGAGCTAAATCAATAATAGCTATTACTTCGCTAGTTTATCGTTAATGCAAAACGGTAATATATAATGACATGTAACAAAAAATTTGCCGAATCGGACCACTACTCGTATTTGTTTCCTAATGTTTCGTTTCAAATGCGAAACTATTACAAAACGTCTAACGAAACCGCGCCAAGGCCTACCCTTGTGATGTAACGGTACCCATCTCGATATGTGCGTCTGGGCTCTGACACTTGTATTGGAGTGTTAGCTTTATTGGAAGACGTTTTAACCCCTATCACTTAAATTGTATATGTACTCGTATTTGATGGGGAATTTGACAATTTTGTGAATGTGAGTGTGAATCTGTGTTGCGTGGAATAGAGTGTGAGTGTGTGTATAAGAGGGATTGAGACACTGATAGATAAACAGAGAGAGAGAGAGAGAAACAGAGAGATAGAGAGAGAGAGAGATGAAATAAAAATAAAGTATTTTTGTTCTTTATTTTATTATTTTATTTTATGCTTATATTAGCAAGTCCAATGCAATCGGTTTTTGCGTACTTCTTCTTAACAGTCAGAAGGGTTGATGAAAACTTCTTACTGCTTTCTCATGTCTCGTCTAAAGAGAGCCTAGTGACTATGTGAATACTTAACGCTGCACTTTGCAATTTAATATTTAGCTATATTTTTATTCTAAGGATTCTAAGAGATAAAGTAAGATAGAGTGAAATGTTTAGAAATATAAATAATAGACATATTTGTAATTCTTTAAACATTTGACTATATAGACAAACTCATTAAGAAAATCTAATCTACCACACTTATTAAGTTGAAAGTATTTAAAAATTTTATGTTTGTTAGTATGTTACATCTTTAATTACATAAAGGTATTATGACTTCATAATTATAACTAAACTTCTCGTTTTTACTTTTGTTACAACATTTTTGTTAAATTACTATTAAAATTTTAATACTTTACATCATCATAGGTAGATTCTCTTCTCTATATGTATTTATAAGATTTTCAATAAACACTCAACAATATCACATATGTGCGGCTAATCTAATGTTATATGTTATATTAATTAGTCCGATACAAAATAAAATAGAAATTAAACACAAGCGAATGTCAAACCTAGAGCGATCCATTCAAGCGAGCTTTTCCCGTCTTTTTACAAATCATAAGTAACACAATATTCTATATACAAACCATACTTATTGCAGCATACATGTAGTAATAAATAATAAAAATAAAAAATATTAATTGATTCGTACATAATATGTTTTCTGAAGTGGCCTTTTAATTTTAAGACATATGACATTTTTGAACTTTGGCTTTTGAACACAAGTTTAATAGTTCTTTGCCAAATTCTTACACATCTATTGCTTAAAAAAGAAATAATTAAGTAAATGCGGTTACTTAAATTCATAGGTAAGTAAGTGGCCGCACTTATTTTTTGAACGTTACAGTTCATCTCTTTGATCATATTCTTTTTTAATTATATCAACCGCTTTCTGAGCCACTACTAATGTCGCAGCCATTGTATTAGCTCCTGGTATAGTTGGCATTATACTAGCATCAACGACTCTTAGGTTTTTAATTCCATGAACCATTAATTCAGGGCTGACTACAGATGTAGGATCGTTTTCAGGGCCCATTTTAGCGGTACCTACTGGATGATATAACGTCGTCGCCATATGCCTTATGTAACAATTCCAGTAATTATTAGTATCGAATAAATGTTTTATACAATAAGGAATATCAATGCTAAGTAATTCGATTTCCCTTTCCTTAAAAACCGACGTTTCCTCAAGTTTGTGAACGAAATCGATAGCCTTCATGAAGGAAAGTATATCGTCAGGATGTTGAAAATAATTAGTCTTTATTATTGGGTCTGATAATGGAGATTTAGCAAGATGGATTTCGCCTCTTGATTTCGGACGTAATAATGTTGGATAAATTCCCAAAATATCATGCGCTTCATTTAGTGATTGAATAATATTTATAATTTCTTGTTTGTAACCTAATCCTTCAAGGTATGGCTTTAATACGAAATTATCGTTTTTAGCAAAGTAAGTGTAATGAAATTGAATATCAGGATAGTCAGAAGTATTCGTAGTGTCAATAAATCCCATGTAGTCTGTTAACCCAATATTTGAAAATGGACCGCTTTTAGTAAGTATGTACTGTATAATAAGCATATTTATCATTTCATTGGGTATTACTGTATGCTTGTTTGTTTTAAGAAACAAAGGTAATATGACGTGATCTTGTAGATTCTGCCCTACCAGCAAATCTTGCAGGCAATTAATTCCCAAGGCCTCCAATTGAGACCTTGGTCCTATCCCCGATAACATAAGAATTTGCGGTGTTGCAATAGATCCAGCTGATAATATAATTTCTTTCGTTGTATGAATGTCTGCAAAAATGCCGCTCTTGTGTCGTATTTTAACACCAGTTGCTTTTTTAGTATTAGAATCGATTAATACTTTTTCTACTACAGTATTTTTCATTATTTCTAGTTTACCAGCATCCACGAAATATGCCTTTGCAGTGTTCATGCGCTTGCCATTTTTTGTGAGTAATCTTGCTATTTTTGTTCCAGTCAAAGCTTCATGGTTATTGTATTTATAGGATATAAAACCTAGTTCTCTCCATGCCTTGTCTAAAATATTATACCATTCATTTTCATAGCCTTGAAAATTAGGATCAGAAATGTTAAAAAGTTCTTCTTGCTCATCAAAAAAAGCCGATAATGTATCATAATTCCAACCAACATTTCCTAATTGTTCCCATTCAAAGTAGTCGTTAGGGTGTCCTCGGAGATATATCATTGCATTTATGGAACTCGATCCACCGAGCGCTTTACCTTTACTCCAAATACAGCTGTTATTATTAAATCCTAAACAAGTATTGCCATCCGGATACGTTTTGTAGTTCCAATCTATTCCAGAATTTTGATTTAAGAATAAAAATGCGGGGATCTGAAATATAAACGATTCTTAAGTTTATTTCTTTAAGAAATTATATAGGATATTAAAGAGAGGTGGGACGAAACGATAATCATGCCACTCCTATGTAAATTAACAATCACAATACAATAATTACTTAGTATCTGTGGTGTACGTTTCTATGTCCGTGCACACTGAATTTATTATAAGGTTTTTCCTATTGTATTTGCTTTTATGGGCTGAATGCGTTTTAAGGCCCACACTATAAGTACTAAACCTATTGTGTGGTCCCCCACCAAAACTAGTGGGATCATCAGTGTTTTTTTAATAATTGAAACATTTTTTTACCTCACTATCAATTCCAGGATCGTCTCCTGCCTCTATTAGTAGTATTTTCCACAAAGGATACAGATTTGATAAACGACTTGCAAGCAACGAACCGGCTGTACCGGCTCCCACTATTATGAAGTCATATGAAGCTAAAATTTTAGGAAAAATATGTATATTGAAATTGAAAATAAATTCTATTGGAAATCAAATATATGTTGTCTATTTAGAAACTAATGAGTGGCTGCTACAATTTTAGTTGATTATTACGATATATACGATCCAACTCTGGGAAGCTATTAGTGAAGAAAGTAAAAAAATCGGTATTTTTTATAATCGTAAACATCTCCCAAGACCCAAACACAGTTTTTCGAAATGTTTTATTCGACCTTTAACATATTAATTAAATTTATTGGTTATATTAAAGTAATATTATTAGTATACATATATCTAGAGGAATTTACAATGAATTGTAAAAAATATACTTACGAGACTCCCTCTTTAAAATATTTGGGGAATCGTCAGGAGGCCAGCTGTAGTCGTCTAAGATAGTGCAATGCGCAGCAATTATTGTAGTCACTGCATTTAGGAATAGGCCTCCTGTTGTACCAGAAAATGGCAACGGACATGTTTCTGTTATATTTAATTTTAAGGCCTCCATTTTTATATATTATATACTTTTAGAATAGAAAATAATTTATTGATTTTTTGTATATTAATATTATAATTACAATAAAATCAAGTCAATACGTCTTATAACCAAGTTTATTAACCAAGTTGGGTGTATTAGTTCCTTTAATATGTCAACATATAAAGGATATTCAATGAATTGACCTCAACTTGTTGTATTAGTAACGTGAAATCGAATACTTTATCAGTTGTAAATATAGGGTAGCAAGAAAACTCCAAACAGGTAATTTTTATTGATTGTAATGAAACAATTTTTATATACACTAAAACCAAATAAAGTTTAAATACTTAAATAAGGAAAATCGTTTAGTTACAATATCGATTATACCATAATTAAAATTATTTTCAACACTTGCTATGTAAATCTGTGAATTTGAACAGGTCTTTTTAGAACTCCACTTCATAATTCATACCATTGTGATATAACCAAGTTCGACATTTTTTATGATACTGTGAGAATCGCTCGTGGTGGAATTGACTTTCTTGTATTTTTGGTTTTTTATCATGAGTAATGTCCGAATGGGTGAGCTTATTATCAACTTTTATGTTAGGATTTGCAGTATTATGAAACCGATTATTGCCATTTAATGTAGATTGAGAAACCCTAAAATTTAAATGTTCTGTTCCTTGATCCGATATAAAATAAGGATATGGCTTTAGAAAAGGATTTGGATTATTGGAATTGTGATTATAAAAGTGTAAATCAGGATTATACATATTGTTAATTCTGAATGAATTTAATTTGGGATTATGAACACTATTCAAAGACAAACTCTCCTTTATTTTTTCTGATTTAGCAGGGATAGAATTTATATTTAGATCCTGGTCATTATTATTCAATTTTTTATCTTTTCTAAATAAATCATTTTGTAATGATGGAAACAGATTGCTTATTTCCGCAAAAATGTCTAAAGTTGATTGGGTTTCTCCTGCGTGTCTTAATTTGTTATTTTCTATAGATTCCACCTCGTCATTCCTTAGTACGGATTCTGAAGTACACTTAACAAAAGTATGGGCTGCTTCACCCCAGTCTTCTTTAATCATGTCTGCTGCCTTCTCTCCAATCATTATTATAGGTGCATTAGTATTTCCACTAACGATCGTTGGCATGATACTGCCATCAACTACTCTGAGATTACTGATCCCGTATACCTAAAACACAGTTTTTTTTTAAATAAATGAAACATCACATTCTGCATTGAATCAACACAGCAAATATGAAAACTAACTAATAATGATAAATAGCTTGTCATGTCATATAAAAATAAATTAGCTTTAACACAAACGCCATAATATTTTTAGGCTTTAGTATCCTATCCGAATTAAGTATTACAGACCCAAAATAACATTGAATTGAATTTTAACAGAGTATGTAGTATTTTAAATAAAACTATTTTTTCGGATTTTGTCGCGGATTTATTTGGATTTTTGTTTCCCGACGTTTCGAATGCTTTGCAGCATTCATGGTCACGGGAGAGACTTAGGTGTTACATGTCTCGAAGGTATAGTTGTTACAGACAGCCTACCCACAAATAACAAAATGAAAATTTCACCAATTACCTTACAATATTTTTTAACTTTAAACATTTTTATAATTTTAATTAGTTTTCTAATTGAATATGGAATATTATTTATTTAATTTTGCTGTTATTATTATAATTATTACAATTTTATAAAAATATTAATTAGTAATCTATATTTAGTGTTGCCATTATTATATTTATAGCCATAAAGAAAAATATAAAATATAGTCTTAATTATTTAAGCCATATAATTGTTCTATGTGTAATTTAAAAAATTAAAATTAATTAAGGATAATAATTTAAATTTAGTTTGCTATTATTTAAAAGACAAATTACTAAGCAACACTATTACTATACACTTTTACAAATGAAATGAAAAATATTAATCGGATATGCTGTCATTTTGATCCACACAATAAGAACTTACTACATCTGCCTGTCTGTTATGTTTAAATTTATTATTTGATTTTATTATATTAATAATAGGATCCCATGACGATGGTAGTACCCAGTCCATCCATTCAGTCAGTCCATTAAATTATTAATTAAGAGTATGTAGTAGTTGTCGTAAAAAAACTTACTCTCAATCTGGGATCAACAACTGCTTGTAAGTTGTTAGCATGGCCCATGGCACAGGTTCCTACTGGGTGGTAGATAGTCAAGGAATGATGACGCGCTTGACATTCTAAATGTTCATCTGACATAAGTGGGTGCTTCGAGCATCCAGGATTACGATTGGCATTTGGCCGAGCGTTCAGTTTTTTTAATGCAGGTTGCTCAATTAATGACTGCGCTATTTTAGCACCGTCGATCTACAATTAATAAAAATACAAATAATTAATTAAACACCCTATATAGGTTAATTCAAACTATATTAATTATACGCCCATATCAAGTGGCATACAGTAATAAGACTGTAATAAAATATTTAGTTCAAGTACGTTGTTTAAATCTCGAGTTATTTAATTTATTCACAAGATGAACTATTTATTTGACGATTTTAAATATTTGTACGTGTCTAATAAATCTTACCATCCTAAGCATATCTTCTTGGTCTACGTAGTAATTTGGATAAATAAGTGGCGGCGAAAGCGGGTTGGAATCACGTAGCTTTATATATCCTCGACTTTTGGGTCTTAAAAGTAGAGGGACTATAGAAAACGATGAATCGTATAATATATCTTCATATAATTCAGCATAAGTTTCATCTGAGAGCCCATTTGCACGTTTTCCAAATAATCCACCATCCATATTGTCTGCTGTAGGTGCAATGAAAAATTGTATATCGGGATAATCTTCGGCGGGATCTTGATATTTTGAATTAACAAATGCCATTGCTTCAGCTTCCATCATACTGTACAAAGGACCTTTTTTATTAATCGAGAAGTCAATCAAGCTATCGAGTGAGCTTACAGTATAAAGATTAAAGCAGTAATCGGTTCCATTTGTATAGGGATTATCAAAAAGAAATGAATGTCCACCCATAGCCACATGATCTTGAAGGTTTTTCCCAACCCCAGGTAAATGAGCAATTGGATATATACCATGTTCTTTTAACTCTTTGATATCCCCTATACCCGAGAGCATAAGTAGCTGGGGTGATTGGATTGCCCCCGCCGATAGTATAATTTCTCTACTTGCTCTTATAATACGTGATTTTCCGTGCTTAGTAAATTTTACTCCATATGCCTTTTTATTTTCATCTATTAATATTTTTTCGACTAGAGAGTGGACAGTAATGTGTAAGTTAGATCTCTTTGATGCTGGTCTGAGATATCCTTTTGCTGTGCTACATCGAAGTCCATTTCGCAAAGTTGCTTGAGATCTTGTGAAGCCAGTTTGGAATTCACCATTTACGTCCAATATTTTATATCCAAGTTCTTCGCCGGCTTCTAATATTTTATTTGTAATTGGTTGTTGATATCCAAAATATTCAATTGATATAGGGCCACCTACCGCATGATACGGGTTATTTTGATATTCAGGTATTCGCATATCTTCCGCTTTGAGAAAATATTGTAATATATCCTTATAAGCCCAGCCTTCATTACCAAGCATAGCCCATTTGTCATAATCTTTTTTATTCCCTCGTATATAAAGCATGGCATTAAGTGTGCTGGAACCACCTAATACCTTGCCGCGCGGCCACTTACACCTGTTGCCTACCATGCTCAAACAAAAACCATTACTTGGCTCTGTAACAAACTGCCAATCTATTGAAGATGTTTGTAAAGCGGGAAATAATGCGGGTACTTCCGATAACACGTTTTCTTCCTGTCCAGCTTCTATTAAAAGTATATTCCAATCTGGATTTTCTGAGAGACGGCTAGCTACTACTGAACCAGCTGACCCAGCACCAATCACAATAAAATCGTAGCATTTATAAAGTTGCTCAACTGGGTGATCTCTGACTCGATTTTCTGCGTCTTCTATGTCTGGTCTGTACAGATGAATCACCATACGCAAAAATATCATAGCTCCCATTCCTGGGAGAAGTCCAAACAATATCCTAGTACTGGATATAACAGGCCTCAAGGATAGGCCATTGCTCGCCATATTTAAGTAAACAATTGTATCAACTCCACTTACATGTACACTATATTTAATGAGTGTAATATCATACATTGTAATACTATTAGCAAGTGATTTTGCTAACGTAGAAATTAACAAGTTATTGTTTACGAAAGGTCACGTCGCGTTTTAGTTTGTAACAGAGTAATTGTCAATGTTTATTACACGAAAATAAACTTATTTTATATACATAGGCTTAAATATTTAATGAGTTAGACTTGATTCGTGTTTTGTGTTAATTTAATGTATTTCTTAATTAAGATGACACGTATTTGAATAATTCACCTTTAAGATTAATAAGAAATACTAGTGATCACCTCATGGTTGAAAATCAACCATAATTCATTAAATTTGATCGACATTGAGATTATTTTTTCAAAGTTATATAAATAAAAAATATTAAATAGCCTATAAAATCCAAAAGAATTTTGAAAAATTACAAACAATATAAATCTATTCTAAATTTGACCACAGACTTTAACAATAAACAAAAGAGTATATATGCGTGTGTATGTCAAATACATGATAGTGTGTGTAATGTTTTATTTTTGTTATAATGTATTTTTATGCATCATTAAAAAAATATTAGCATTCTGCACTCCTTCTCTATAAAAATTATAAGTGTGGGAAATGTCATACTCCTCCGTCCGCGCAATATTCGTAAAAAGGGGTACAAAGTTTTTGCTTCACGTATTAATATATAGATTCTAGTATTATAGCTGCAATTGCAAGCCGTGATTATTTTAAGTATACCTCTCTATTAATCTACTCTATATTAAGATTCATTCGACATGACGACGTCACAGAGCAGTCAGCAGATTATTTCACATTTGTTTTTAATGTTGTTGAAATAATGTTGTCGTATTATTTAAAAATTAGATTATGAATATAATATTATATATTATAATTTATTCATAAAGCGTTTTTTTTCCAAGACAATAAAATAATACTTCGAATGTTTGAACGAAATGTGAGTACATATAAGAGGTATGTTAGTATAAATTAATAAAGAAAAATATAACAATTATGAACAATACGTTTATTTGGAAACTCTTTTCGTAGTCACTAATACCTCTGTTTAATACTTAAATTGAAATAAGTTATTAAATAAACATTCAAATTCAATAAATAATATATGTACAGTGCATTTATAGTATTATTGTTATTTGTACGAATTCATCAGGCGTAATATCTGGACATTCGTCTTTTTAACCAAAACTCTTTTATCATATCACTGCCTTTCTCTCCGATCATGATTATAGGAGCGTTAGTATTGCCACTAATTAAATTAGGCATTATACTGCCGTCTATAACTCTCAGTCCTCGAACTCCATAAATTTTCAGTTCGTGATCGACAACAGCTTCTGGATCCCAATAAGGTCCCATTTTCACAGTTCCAACTGGATGATATATCGTACATGTATATTGTCTTATCATACACTCCCAAAAGGGGTCTGAAAATTTTTGTATATGTCTACACGCGGGAAAAATGTGATTATTAAATAATGATGCGTGCTTTTGAAACGCTTTAGTCCTAGAAACTGCGAAGGCAATTTTTACTCCTTCTATTAATGTTTTTACATCCATTTCTTCAGTCAAATAATTTGGATAAATATATGGATAATCGTATGGATTTGCACTTCGTAGTTGAATATAACCTTTGCTTTTCGGTCTTAATAGCATTGGTATTATACTCCAAACATCTACGTTATTCATAGGCTGGAATACTGCATTGTAAAATTTCTCAGTTAAACCATGTATTTTTCTCAACTGTCCACCACCATCCGAATTCGTCGCTCCAGATATAAAATGAAATTCTATATCCGGAAAATCATCGGATGCGTTTACATATTTAGTATTTACGAAAGCCAAGCCCTCAACGCCACCCATTATTGTTAGCGGACCTTCACCCATTACTGCGTACTCCATTAAAGTGCTTACGGTATGCAGTCTATTTTCTATAATCGATATTGGTTTATTTATCATAAAGGCTAATCCACCTAAACCAATATGATCTTGCAAATTTTTTCCTACTTGAAGATTTTGAATCAAGGGAATACGGTGTTTTGCCAACTCTTCTGCTGGACCTATCCCCGAAAGTAATAATAACTGAGCAGAGTTAATCGTTCCGCCGGATAATATTACTTCTTTGCGAGCCCTTATACGATATATCATTTTATTCTTAATAAACTCCACACCGAAAGCTATTCTTGTTCTTGGATCTAACATCACTTTAGTCACAAAAGAGTTCATAGAGATGTGAAGGTTTTTACGATCTTTAGCGGGTCTTAAGAAAGCTTTTGAAGTTGAACATCGACTTCCACGCCTTAATGTTCCTTGAGCTACCATAAATCCAGTTTGATTTTCACCATTTATATCCCTATTAACATAACCCATTTCTAAACCAGCATCTATGAAACTAGACACAAGTGGTGTTCTAAATGGTGCTTCTGAAACAGTCAGATAGCCACCGGTACTGTGATACGGAGTTCTGGCCAAATATGGATTTTGGTTGTCTTCGGATTTTTTAAAATAATATAACACATCTTTATATCCCCATCCTTTGTTTCCTTGAGATTCCCAAATGTCGTAGTCTTTTTTATTCCCTCTTAAATATAACATGTAGTTAAGTACAGAACTTCCACCCAGAACTTTTCCACGTGGCCAGTTGCATCGTCCCTCTTCCATAGCTGTAAAAACAAATTTAAATTTAATTTATATAATAACTATTTCATAAATAAGCTACTGTGTTTCCTATGTCCTGCCTAACTAATAATGCAGAGTTGTATGTTAGTGTAAACAAAACTTCGATAAAAAATATATTTAAAAAAAACTAAAGAGTGCGTGTATGAATGTGTACACGGTAAAACTTCTATAGGTTATCGGTACTCTTTATGAAATTCAATTTATGTTTTAAATAATTAGGATAGCTGAGATATTAAAAATAACGCATATTAGGCATATTACAATCATATATTTATAGAATATCGTTTACGAAAAGAATATAATATTTTATATCATTTGTCAGACAATAACAACAGTTACCATGGCAACAAACGTAAGTACATTTTTTCGTAACGCATTACATTTTTTCGTAACGCATTCAGAGACTTACCCCCCAAGTCAGCGTGCGTAAAGTAATTTTACTTCAAAAAGTGTTACAAATAATATCTAAACTTCTATTTAGTGTATTTAGATTTTTTTAAGGGTTTTTATTCCATTAACTGCCATATGCTCATTTCTTATCGAACGTTCAAAGACTTACCTAAACAACTAGTTCCTTGAGGTTCCGTCTTGTATTTCCAATCCAATTTACTTAGTTGTAGATATCCCGCCAATAAAGGGACATCTGAGATTTCTGTTTCGTCTCCACCAGCTTCCAAAAGAAGCACATTCCAATAACCGATTTCAGAAAGACGATTCGCGACTACTGCTCCTGAAAATATAATTTAGCAATTATTATTTTCTTCGGTAAAATATTTTTACAAGTTGTTTTATCTTGAACTTGATATGTTATTAATTATTAGAATGTTATGGTTTTGTTATAATATGTGCATGCAAACTATGGAAATTGTAGAAATCTACATGTTTTATATTACAAAAAATATTTTTCTCGTATCATAAGTAACAATGTGTTTTCTTAAAAATATTCCTTAATTTAATTCATTTAATCCACGCTAAAATTATTCATAATCAAGATAAAAACAATTTAATAATTAATTTCACTTCATTTAATTTATACTCTACATACTATATACAGATAAATAAAATTGAATTGTCTGTTTGTAATTACAAAATAACAGCTTCTTACTAAATGCATATAAAATTATATACGGCACTTAATATAAAAAACACAATTTTTAAAAAAATTGTCTTTTTATTCTAGCTAATATCCGAAACGGCTGGCCTGTTTTTGACGGGACTTTCACTGGCATATAGCTGATGTTATAAGGAGTAACTTAGTTTACTTTTATTTTAGAATAAGAATTAGGATCCCGTTCAGAATAATGAAAACATACCTAGCTAGCTATTTTAAATCTAAGGGTATGCTTTAGCGGTTTTTTTTTCAATTTTGATTTTTTCCTCACTACGCGACGTTTTGATTGCCTTTTATATTTTCATAGTCAACACAAAAATGTAGTACCTACTAACCAGCGGATCCAGCACCAACTATGATGAAATCGTATTCGGGTAACATGTTGGAGTCCGGTATATCTGTGGGTCTTCCCTCAGGGTCGGTCTGATCGAACTGGTAATACGCTATTGCCGCCACCAACATCGGAATGAACCATGCCACCTGAAATTATAAAGGGAAAACATAAATGTTTATTTATTTGTATTTTGGCGATCATGATGAGCCTAAGGAACATTTTTAAACGCCTTCAAAAATGAGGTTCTTAATTCAAGCATATGTTGTTCTTGTTTGTATGTTTAGCGATATCTTCATTATGTGAACAGATTTAAATATTTCTTTTTTTTATGCATAAACAAATTAAAAAAAAATCTCGTCCCCAGACGTGGAATAATTATTTTTTCATATTAAATTATTTATAAATAATTTTTTTCATATTAATACACTTTCATATATATAAAAAACAAATAAGAAAATTGTTTTATTTTTATCATTATTATGCGCTAAAGGTATATTTTTAAACTAGCTTTATATCCGGTTCTGCTCGCGTAATCTATTTATGTTATATCCCTGTTGATCCTAAAAGTCGTCGCGTGAACTTAGATAGCCTTATACCTTTCTCAAGAATTGGACTATCAAATGAAAAAAGGATTTTTCAAATCCGACTACGTAGTTACAGAGATTTCTCGTCCAAAAAAATGACAACTTCAACTTTTTTATATAAGTATAAATAAATCATTTATTACAATTATTAACTGTTTAAATACCCATGTCTGTTAAAGGAACCAGTTATACAAACAGATAGAATGAGTTAGATATAAATAATTTAGAGATATACCTTATATTATTAAGTAAGAAAGTGTGTCTAGTACAATACCTGCGTACCTGCAGCGGCGATGGCCGTGCCCGATATCACGTCGGCGGCCACGTTCACTATCGCGCTCATTTCTTCTGTAATAACAACAGAAATTATATAAAACTATGTGTTTGCAGTCATTAGTTTATTTAAAAGAGATAAAAAATATATAATGGAATAACAGTTTCGGTAAGTATACTGTGCCATTAATGTTGCTATGTCTGATTGACAAGAAAATTGAATTGAATTGAAAGGTTCTTTACGTTCATAAATACTAATGAAGTATTTATCTATAATTTAATAATAAAATAGGCATTATTGAGCTAATATTATTTATACCGCACTAGATCCCAAAGATATATTTAAATATCTTAATACGTGTGTCTGTTTGCGTGTTCACTAATTTCCTCCCTCCCTTCAGGCTGCATTGACTAAGTGAATACTGAGTGACAGGCATTAGTTTATAAGCAAAAGTTTAACGCGCAATTTGGGATAGAATAAAAGTTGCATTAAGCTACACGACATGGGATGAAATGGTAATGAAACTGAGAAAAAGAGTCTTTCCTTAGTAATATATTTTTTTAAATTTCATTTTTTTCTTATTTATCAACCCTAAGGTAAATCTTATTAATATGTTTTATGTATTTTATCAATCCTATGTCATAATACCTTCATTGTATATGTTACGCATTGCCTATGCAAATCAATTTCGATGTATCCAAATAAGACTGAGTTACGTAAAAAGATTTATTTAAACTATTGTGTTATATTTGTGCTTATGCATGTTTAGTTTTGTTAAGGGAAGGTACGTTTAATTCATTGAACAATTATGTATATCGTTGACATTGTACAATAAATCTACAAATGCAGAGTGGAAAAAATGGAAGGGACATGGAAGAAAATTACCTTAAATATTGAAGTTATCAAGTTTGAACTCAAAGGAAACATTCCTTATTTAAAGAAAATATGATAACTGCGTCCAAACGGTTTGATGATTTTTTTTGCATATTGATGGTATCACCTGGATTGATTCTTAGCTTTAGTTGGAACCGATAGGTGGCGCTGGTGTCGAGATCTAAATATTTTTATTTAATTTTAAGACTAAACTTATACTGTTTACTGTCTTTTGTAAAACGTTTGCTTTCGTAAACGTTCGCTTACTGGGCCCCATGATGGTGAACATTTTAATTTTATATGTATTCATATTTACGCATAATGATGATGTTCTCCTGACCGATTCCGGCCACGGCGGCCAATCTCATTAACACTAGCCAACTGCGCAGGAGATACGCAGCGGAGATGCGCAGGAACACAAGTGTACGCGCAGACACAAGTGCACTCTCTATTTCTGTCACTCTCATACTTTGGTGGGACGACCACTCAACACGACCAGTGAAAGTTAGGGCGCAGGACCAGCGGCTTTACGTGCTCTCAGAGGCACGGGGGTGAAACACCGCCAACTTCCCAACTCCGGGCTGTTACTGAGGCTTACTATACAGAAAGACGCAATAACTAAACTTGGCCCGACCCGGGACTCGAACCCAGGACCTCTGGGTGTGCAGCCGTACATGCTAGCCACTACACCACCGAGGCAGTTACGCACATAATATAGGAGAAATTGAAGTTATGTTACTCATACTTTATTCTATTCGGAAGAAAGTATGCGCATTTCACGCTCAAGCACACAGGATCATGAGTCATGACGTGTAACGGTACGGTTACGCGGCTCGTCACGTCCACCAATTCTATAGGCCACTTTTTGTGACACACTTTTATGTAGAAGCCACTTCTGACACATATTCTTTGTATTTCTTAGCTTCCTTTCATCTCTTTCTTATTTTTTCTTATTATTACTATAAGAGGAGTAGGATTAGTATATAAATATATATAGTTTTTTAGCTTTTTTATTAGAAATATGCTAAATAGAAGAGAACGCAGTTCCTAAAGGCCTATTTTACTTTTTTTTGGCTCATGAAGGTTAAAAGTCAAAATTTGAAAGAGGATCTATTATATTTTACAGTAGTACTAATAGTTAAAGTTATAATTAGTAGTTAATAAATGAAATAAATTAATATTAAAAAAAAAAAACATTTTTTAAAACAACCTTTTATATCATATAAATTTTGTAATGTAATAAATGGACTTCATTGAATTAATTTAAAGTTTTTTTTAATGTTTTAGGTATTTTTTCGTATTCTTCTCAGCAAACCCTTTAATTTGATATTTATATCATGGGGGTGCATAAAAAAACATAGTCTGCCATTGTTGAGAGTCCGCCATGTTGGATTTAGAATGACGTCACTTATCGAACCATGCATTGTCATCTCAACTAAACGTGTATATAACATTTAAGCTCAATCGTTTGAGTTTAAAATTCATTGCTTTAAAATTCAGTTGCAAGATTTGAACCGAAAGAAAACATACATACAAGCATTACAAGTTAAATAAAAGTTCGAAAAATGACATGATGAAATAATCATCTCAAAATAAGCGTACAATTTTCTTATGTCGTAAGATTGTAATCCAATAAGATTTAGTAGAAAGTGAATCTTGTCGTATAATTACTTGCAATGCGCTCGTATGCGTGTTGTCTTTTTGTGCGTGTGTGTGCGTTTACATCCAGAATACTAAGTCGTTCCGGTGAAAATAACTGATGTTATGTAATGTAACCTAAATAAAGCGATCAGCATTATTATATGTTCTTGATAAATATTCATAAAGCAAATGTTATGGAAACAAGCAAAATTAGGACGCAGGGTTTCATCATGTTATAACTACCTACCTACCTTTTGTTGTAGATTTGTATATACAAGTATATGTATATCTCTATCGTACTCTTATATATAGCTGTGAAATTATGTCAATTCAATTCAATTATTATGGCTTTTATAGATAAATGAGTATAATGTCCAAAATTGTCTGGTAATATATGTGTGTATTATTTCCTATTAGCGGATACATATGTTTGTTGACTTTTAGTTTGTTTCCTCTAGTCTACAATTCTCTAAAGGATAGATTAAGATATCTGTAGAATCTAAACTCTACTTTTATAATATATATTAACAGAATCCGAGGCTTCACTCGCGCTAAAACTACAAAAAAAAACTAAAAATGGAGGTTTCATACAAACTTTTATCCCCTATTTTACCTCCTTATGGGATAAATTTCGAAAAATGCTGAAACACGTATTTGTTTAATTGTACTGAAGAGCATTAATACCAAGTTTCAAGTTAAATTCTGATCATAAATATCTTTTGGGTTGTATTATAACGTGTTTTTGCCCGTGGGAATGACATAATCTCCTGCAGTAAAATTCCGCTATCCTATGTCTATGCCTATGTTATTCTCCAGCCCTCCAATAATCACGCTAATCCGTCACTTTGTTTCGACGTGAAAGAAGGACAAACAAACAAACACACAAACAAACAAACACACTTTCATATTTATAAAATTCACGTTATATTGGACAACTATTATAAATGCGAAAGTATGTATGTGTGCATGTTTGTTACTCCTGTTTCTGAAACGGCAGGATGAATTTAGATGAAAATTACATACTTACTAGACTTTAAAGTTTAGACTTTTGCAGTGACATTTTCAATTATGGAATAGAAACTTGTTTATGTTGTTCGCTTAACACGACAAATGTCCATTAAATGAAAAATTATATGACTTTTATAATTAACCGACTTCAGAGAAATAAGGAGATTTTCATTTTTTTTCTATGTATTATTATTATATTGACGCATATGTTCACGCATAAGCTCTTTGTTTATAAAACGATTGATTAGAGATGCTTCCCATTGCGTTAAGTTCAGTAAAGCTATATAATATAAACTATTATAATTTTATAAATAAAACTCTTTTCGGATTTATTTTTATTTTTTGCAGATTTATTTTTATTTTTGGTTCTAGACGTTTTGAATGCTTTATTCCAATTATGGTCACGGGAGAGACTAAAGGTGTTGATGTCCCAAAAATTATAATATAGTTGTTACAGATATTTTAATGTTTATTAAGACCGACTTTAAAAAAATGTATGCTTTTAATTAACGCAATATTTTCACTAAATATGATTTTTCTTATTATATTTATATATATATATATATATATATATATATATATATATATATATATATATATAGTGCATTTATGCATGCCTATTATGCATTTTAATAGCTCATACATACCATAATTTTGAAATACTTTTGAACTTACTTATGGAGAATAGTTCAGAACTCAACTCATAAGAGTTCTTTAAATATTATTGTTACATAGTTTCAAAGATTAACGTGTTTAAACAAACAATCACTTCAGGTTCATGATATTCTGTATAAATATTAAACATGTGAAAATTTGTGAGTATGGATGTTTGTTACTCTTTCACACCAGAACGGCTGAACGGATCTGCATGAAATTTGGCACAGAGATAGATTATAGTCTGGAATAACACATAGGCTATATATATATAGGCTTTTTATCTCGGAATAATATACGGTTCCTGAGGGACAGATTTGTTTTTTTTGTTTAGTATAAATATAATTTATTTAAAGAAAATGTTGTGTTACATAGAAGTAAGTAAACTAGTATTTAAATAATTTTTCAATACATTTAATAATATGACTATTTTTACGTCTGAAACTCACCAATAACCTATGCTTTCACTTGCAAATAAACACCACATAACAAAAACATTGGTACACTCGGAAAAACACAGTTTTTAGTTTCATTCCATGAAAAGGATTTTATTCATATTATGTATTGAAGCACATTTACAAACTTGTTTATTTATGTGTTCAATATATTTTGTAGTTTGTTTTGACTGTCAGTATCTGGTAAGAGACTGTCAAGTCGTATCGCGTCGTGTAACGGTTTGTAACGGGCACTTTCTTCGAGCGTCGGAACGCAACTCCTGCGCATGTTATCCGTTATTCGACAGTGAAATGGAGGGAATTGAAATTTATTGGGAGGGCAGTAGTTTGATAATGTGTAGCGTCATATTTGTAATTATGTTGTTTCGGTTTATTTGAGCTTATTTTATTTAAATTAAAGCTTATTAATGTACAAGAAGGTATAACCTAAACTAACCTAATGAGCATTAATAAGTTTTTGTTGTATGCAATATAAAAAAGCTTTCTAGAAATTCTTAGAGTAATTCGTTCGTCATATCAATCATAAATTAAGCATAAAATAACAAATATATAAAGTAGGTAAGTATATATTATTATTAATTTAAAGTTACGTATGTATGTATGTATGTATTTATTTTAAAACAATACGATTTGACTATATTTCTATTACTTGAATCAAATATATATACATATATTTTTATAGTGAATTTAAAAAAAAATCAAATTACACTGAAAGCCATTTTATCTGTTTAAAAGTATTATGGAGAAAGTTGAGTAAACAGTAGTGAAGCGTGCTGTAACAATAGATAACTTTTTTTATCTTTTTGTGAATTTTATATTACGTGCTAACTAACAAAATCACCTTATTGTAATTTAATCTAAAAATAATAAGTATGTTTTTTATTGAATATTTGAGCATGCAAAAAGAGAAATTTAAGCTCTAAGGTTCTAAGTGTATGATTATATTTATAGCAAAAAGTCGAATACAAATCTGTTCAGCCGAGAGACAAATGATCTAAAAACTAGGTATAGATTTGAATCTTATTCCAAGCAATTTCTTTAGAAAAAAATATATCTTTGTAATTTTCAACAGGATATTAACATTTTATACTTACACTTTTTTTTTGTTTGTTACCTCAGAACTCCGTCATTTATTAACCGATTTGGACAATTTTTGTTTTGTTTGAAAGGTTATACTTCCAGATTGGTCCCATTTAAATTTCAAAAAAAAAATACCACCCCTAAGGGTGGAAAAACAATTAATGATGAATTTAACCTACTTCTAATTGTCATATTGACTTGAAACTTTGCAAGTGTTTATATTTCCGTTGACAGTACAGTGGTTCGGTGTTGTTGACCTGATCTGATGGTAAGGCCAGAAGGTGGATAGGTGGAACTCTTCAACGGCTAATAGTAGATACTTTGAGTTTGGTTATTTTGTTTGATTTGACAAGCCTAACATATTAGAATTCTTACTTTGCTACTACTGTCTACACTAAAAAGGGAAAAATAAAAACTTTTCAACAAAAAAATAAAAACCGACTTTAAACAAAAGCACTAAAAAGTAAAAAATAATTGATTGGTAGTTTTCTGCTTTTGTTTGAAGTCGGTTTTTATTTTCTTGTTAAAAAGTTTTTTCCAGGATTAAAAGTATACATGTAATTCTGATCTATCAGTTATATTGTTGTAAAATTTCCTAAAAATTCATTTAGTAGTTTTTGCGTGAAAGAGTCACAAACATCCGTACATCTATACATACATACATTCTCATAAACTTTCGCATTTATAATATTGGTAGGATATATTTATTATAATGATGTAAGTAACAAAAGCCGAGATTATCTGCGCATTGAATTAGAATAGAAAATAGAAGGTTTTATAATCTCACTACTACTCCATGAGATTATTAATACTACCCTGTGAGAATATTCCAAAAAGTAACAGCTCACAGATCATTTAAAAAAATATTTGACCGAAATGTTTCAGGCGAGTTTTATTATGAGAATACAGAGTACAATGTACGATATGCCTATTGTGTCATGATTTTTATTTCCATCTTCTTCGAGATATCATGTAATTTAGTGCATTTCAAAGCAATTTTCTACACGTCCTCGAATTTCACTTTATCTTATAAGTCACGAGATAAGTTGTATTTAAGTGAAAGTGTATTTAACGCACTCCCGAACACTTGAACAAACTTGTTGTTAATAGGTTGATGCCCTTAGAAAACTATTTCTTGATTTTCAAGTTTGTATTATGTTAGTTTAGTTAGTCATGGTAATGCCACTTTTATTTGTATGAGAAATGAAATTAAAATATTATAATTAAGGCGAAAACTTTGACAGAATAGCTAGTTAATGGTCCTGGCTTTGCTCAGATGTAAAGTGATATTCGTACATACATATATACTCTTGCAGACGGGCAAATAATTTTCAAAACTTGGCGGGCGCGTGCAGTTGCGTAACAACTCTTCAATGTTTTATTGCCATTGGATTCATAGTATACGTCTATAACTTTTTGTATCATTGGGAATCCACCACATAATGACGAATTACATGTCGGGTTTTTTTTTAATTTAGTTATTTTTTTGTTTGCTGTAAAGCATTCAAAACGTCGGGGAAAAATCAAAATAAAACCGCAAAATATGTTTTGTTCAAAATGTCAAATATTCTCATAAATCTAAAAATGTATTAAGCATATGTAATTAATTATTATAAATGTTATCGTACAGGTGGATGCTGCGGCTCGACACAGAAGCGAACAATTGTTGGAGGATGGGCGTGGGCCTGGTGGCTCGTCACGGATGTGCAACGTATCTCCCTTGAGGTCAGTAAACACTTGATCATATTCTAGTTATACTACAGTTTATTAGTGAAAAAGTTTCTTTGAAATCTGTCTGCTGTCTAAATATTTTATAGAAAATAAATTATTGCCTAATTGAAATAAGTTATTATTAAAAACTCTCACTCTATTAATATTTCATACTTTTATTTTTTTAAAGTGACATGTGTGTAGAAAGGCATTAAATAATTAATTTAGTTAAATAAAAACATTAATTGTTCTTAATTCCACAAGTATAAAATTAAAATTAAGTAATTAAAATTAATTAGTCAATTAAAACAAAAATTAACTACATCTTCAGGTTATGACCCTTAACCCCATGTGCGAGTACGTGGAAACTGCCCAAGGTGTTCCTCTAACCGTGACGGGGGTTGCCCAATGCAAGATCATGAACGAGGACGAGCTGTTGACAACAGCCTGCGAACAGTTTCTAGGGAAATCTGTGAAAGAGATCAAGATGACTGTCCTTCAAACACTCGAAGGCCACTTGCGAGCTATACTAGGTAAGTTGATTTATATACAGCTTAGAGCTCTTAAATTTCTTAAACATCTGCGCGGGAGATAATATAGCGCAAAGTGGGTGCGTAAATACGAGTGCCTTCTCTTTATACTGTAGACTGTAGTGGCAGTGCTGACGCGTACATTTTGATTATACAGCATTTGTATCACGCCACGAACCCCAGTTGTCCCGTAGCCGCCTAATGATTTGCTTGTCAATTTTACCGATTCGTTTGTTACTTATATTATTATTAAAGTATATATTGTGCTAGGGACCTTGTAGCTAACTTGAAGTGAATATAATAAATATATGTAACTTTGGACATTTGATTATCCATCTGCATACTTAACTATAGTGAACACGCATTATTCAACCACATACACTAAATTGGTGACCCCGACGTGAAAGTCGATGACAATGAGGGCTATCGTTTTTGGTGGCACCAGTTGGCGAGTGGCGAGTAAGAATCTATCGCTGTCGTTAATAGAGTATTTGTTTGTGCAGCAGGGCCATTTTAATATAATAATAGTAATCGTTTGCGTGGCACCAATTTATCGGGACTTTGTTTAAAATAATTAATTGATATATGTATAATATCCAGATTAGATAAAATATTCACTTTCTCAGCTTATCTTTTAAAGCAATAACATTTGTTGAGCCGTACCCTGTCTGCCATAATTAATCAGTAATCGGAGAATGTTTACAATAATCATGAATAATTAGTGAAGATCCGCGATGAAAAGCTCGCAAACCTCACTCTACACTAGCGTCCCTCTCGGCGAATTCAAGCGCGGTAGCTCTTATTCGGTTTGATCACAAAGAGTTTAAATGAAGGTCTGAAAACTAAGTGTTTGCCGGCTCGTGGATGTAACACCGCTAACTACAAATTTCAGGCAGACCTAAATATTTCTTCACCAAAACAAAGCAATAACTTTGCGTGGCCTAACTTGGCACGCGTGGGTTCGTACTTGAAACCTCAATTGATATCATAGCTCCATATGACAAGACAAAGCTTAACTTATATATATGTACAACCAATCCACTAGATGTCACCGATTCGTACCTATGGTACCGATATTAATAAATCACAGATTATTTGACACTATTAACGCCTCAAAGATAGCGGACACGCCGGCGTTACAGTTAACAAAAGATTTCTTAGAAATTCAATTAATTTCATAGAAATTTACCTGGAGGTGTTAATATTATTGAATATTATAGATCGGAAACTATCGCGAATGTGCACACAAAAACTGGCCAGTAATAAATGATACAGTTAAGTAACGCAAATGAGTTAAGCAGACAAACGATTGTTTTTTATATATAAGATTTCTAATAAGGTACTTTTTTCTATTTAGATAAACTTTTTATGGAGATTTGTATGGGATAAATTATAAACACATCTTTTATAACTAATAATAATTTTTATTTTTTAATCGTATTAGTATCACCATCTAGTGTTACAAGGTGCAAACGTAAAAAAGGAAGTGTCGTAGCGACATCTATGTGTAATACTTAGTAGTTAGCTAGCTCTACGCTGTGTAGAGTCTGACAATGTGTTTGTTCCTAAGAAATATAGGTGTCGTTTTAAAGAATTATAGAGTTCTTTTACTAATTTATGACCATTTATGTATTATATATTATAACTAGCGGCTCACCCTCGCTTCGCTCGGGTTCGTCGCTAGGTACGTTTTTAATAGATATAAATAGTTATTAGCCAGCGTTAGCCATATAAATGTTATTTTTTTTTGTTAATAATATTGACAAATATTGACATTAATATTTATACCATAGATAATCTATAAATAAAAGTCCCTTTTATATATTTAATTCCTTTCGAAAGAAATTTTGAAATTAATGGATTAAACAAACATTCAATTTACATTTAGAACCGTTAACTAAAAAGGGAAATAGAGTGGATTTTTACCAATATTATCATAAATGTACATATGTTCCACATGAACTCAATACTACTTTGTTTCATGTATTAAAAAAAACTAGTGAAATAGGTTACAACTGTTAGGCTTACTTAGTTTACGCTGTTCCAGTTTCGATTTTAGAGCGGAAATATGTTGCAAAATGCTGTCGCAGTCCTGAAACCAAAGCGTAGTATTTTTTTTGTCAATGATTAAAAAAATAGACATTCTAATGAATGATATGGTTTTTTTTATTTTATATTTACTGAATACTAGAAATGGCATAAACTTTATCTCCCGATACATGAAATAATATGCAATGCATAATTCAAAAAGTCATTAATTTTCTAATCAAACGATTATATCTTCACTTGAATGGTACACGAAATATATTCGCAATAATGATTTTGTTTATATGATTTATTACCACTAATAAAGAAATTTATAGATAAGCATGGGTGGCTCTGTTGTTAGACATTAAAGCCAACTAGATTTGCATTTTAATGTTTAACAAACATTGAATATCTGACATGACAGTGATAAAGGGATCAGTGAAAGTTTACTTAAGCCGGGTAAGGCTGTAGTGGAATTTAAAAAATATATATATGTATTTAGTTTCATTTAAAAAAGTGGCGCTTTCATATTGTTTTTATCAAATTCCAATAATTCAAAATAAATGATTTCAAAATCCTACTTGATAGTTATTAGTCTTTATATTATATCAGAAATATATTTTATTATAATTTATTATTTTTATATTAATTATATAGATTTGAAAATCTCGCTTTTATGCAATGGATCTATTATATTGCTCTACACCTAGTAGAGACTAGGTATAATTTCACTTCTATGAAGCGATGCTTTATTCATTGTGTATAATATTATATTATACACTCCATAGAGTGTATTGATAGTAAAAAATTTTTTTCTTAAATCACGCATAATTAATTTAAGTAACACTACAATATGATTTACTCCGAGATATTTTCAAGCAAATAGTAAATCTATACTAATAGTATGAAGAGGCAGAGTTTGTTTCTTTAAACGCGATAATCTCAGGAAGTGCTAAAGCGATTTAAAAAAGTCTTTTTGCATTAGATAGCCTATTTATCGAGGAAGGATATAGGCTATATATCATATGTATAATGTATTGTCTATCTATCCCATACTGACCGTTAAAACGTACCTAGGGACGAACCCGAGCGAAGCAACAGTGAGCCGCTAGTTGTTGCAGTGAATGTAAATTTTCGTCTAGTGATACGTGCAAGAGATCACGTAGGCCGGGAAATACCAGGCCGAAGAATAACTAACACAAAAGTGCAACGAAATTGAATCGATTTTTTACCTTCCGTCTAACGGGAAGTTTTAAACATTTACAAAATACTTTTGTTGTTAGCTGTTTGTTTTTATATATAATTTTACTTTAACTAAAACAATTATGAAAATCGTTTCTGTAGTATGATAATAAATATAAATAAACAAATAAATTTACTTTATTACATTTAATACTACTCTTTTATAGGTATAAAATGAATATGTAAGTATTGGTTTTCATAATACTTTCTGACGATAGATATACTTACCTACTATAAGAACATTTGATATCTATATTATACACTAGCGACTCACCCTCGCTTCGCTCGGGTTCATCCCTAGGTACGTTTTAACGGTTAGTATGGAATACAAATCTTTGAATTTCTCGGCTTTTCTGTACTATAATATGCATGTATTATACATATAAATCTTCCTTTTGAATCACTATATCTATTAAAAAAACCGCATCAAAATCCGTTGCGTAGTTTTAAAGATCTAAGCATACATAAGGACAAACGGACAGCGGGTAGCGACTTTGTTTTATACTATGTAGTGATATAGTAAAAAAACTGTAACTGATCGCTGTCTGCACATTGAAGATATTTGAGAAAAACTATTATTGGGTTTTTTTATTAATGCAATAGAACCCAAAACAATGATTTTTAGAACTTTTGTCTGTTTATGTGTGTGTTTATGCGTGGTAATCTCAGAAACAGCTTAACCGATTTGGGTGCGGTTTTCATTAATGTATTGTAGTAAGCTTCGCTTAACATTTGGTATTTGTATTATTTCAATCGGCCCATAAATAAAAAGTTTGTCAATGAATCTCAGAATCCCCATATATTTTAAATAGAGTTGTTAGTTGTGTTGTTGGTTGTTGTATAGTTGTCGGATGTCTTGGCGTTTTTATTTTACTTTGCTTTTATGTTTGTACTTTGCTATTTACAATGCAACCGGGAGAGACTAAGTTTTAACTTAGTCTCTCATGTGACCATCTTTGCTATAAAACATTCGAAATGTCAGCAACAAAAAAGTACACTAAAACTAGGAAAAATTCGTAAAAAATATTTTTTTTATTTAAATGCCAAAGGAAGTAAAATCTGCGACTACACAAGTCACTCATGCATATTAGGAGAGGTAATGAACAATAAAATAAAGTTATGTAAATATGGATTTTGTACTAAAAGCAGTGTATTATGAATATGTTACATTATTATAAAATTATATATTATATTACTACAAAAATAAGCTAAATAATTGTAGATATATGTATCTAATGCTTAGAAAGGGCATAATAAATATATTAAATGCTATAAGCGTTACAAATCCAAAATATAATAATATATAATAAGATATAATCACGAGACACGTTTGGATCAGTTTGTAGAGTCCCTACTTGCTGTGCCAGCGGTCGCGGGTTTGAGTTCCGCTTGGAGCATTCATTTGTGTAATGCGCATGAATGTTTGTACTCCAGTCTTTATTAAAAGTTATATATATGTAGTGTATCAACTATCTGGTATCCGTAACACAAGAATAAGATAGTGCTGTGTGTAAATATCCCAAAATATATTAAAAATATTAGTAAATACTAAAGTATTTATTAATATTTTTAACTTCTTATTAGCTAGCCTCTTATTTGCTTATACCATTAATAGTATTTAAAGTAATAATATAATATATAAAAAAATACCCTTATAATAAAATCGGTCAAGTGTGAATTGCATTGTATCGCGTCCCAAGGGTTCCCTACCAAGACGAAATAAAATAGGGCAT